CACACCATCTTAAAATTTGATCCACTTTCACATGTAAAGAAAAGGTCATCGGGTATATATGCACAATCGATAAATGAAACATTTTGATTCTCATATTTTAAAAAACATTTGATTCTCATCATTTCTCACCGGAAAAATGGATTTCGCCAAGCATGTGGTATTAAATATATGTGAGAACTGACATTTTTTTAAAGCAACAATCTCGCCTTGTCAATTTTCATTAAAGAAACCACCAATGTCTTACAAAGGAACCAAATTCAAAAGTAGAACTAAAAGCCTAGGACGACTTCAGGGTGACCAAGCATGGTCCCTGAAGGTAGATATCACAGCCAAAGTAGGAAACTAGCACAATATCAGTCTCTTACACCACATCCCAAAATCAAGACAACGTTTCTATGAAAATTAAAGTAGGGAAAGGAAGGACTATACCAAGATCTAAAACAACTTTCACCCCACGTTGATCCAAGTCACATGCATCCACCCATGAGCTTGGTTGACAACATCATCCTTCTGATTCTCGCAATCCCTTCATCCATGCTTCATTATCTTGGGTTTTTCAGTATAATCGCCCAACTAGTGAGATAATGGTAGAAACCAAATATAACTGCAGCAGGATAATCAGCCATTTATGTTCAAAGCATGCGACATTCTTGGTTTTCCAGATGGTCCAACATATTGTTGTGGCCCCAACGGAACTACACTCCAATGTTCTGGTGAGAAGAGGTTTAGCCGGGGGCCAACTAGATCCTCCACATCTAGGGAGGTGGTGGAGGACAAAGAGGGGGAGGAACAACCTGAGCCCATGGAGGGAGCGGATCCGGAGGAGGAAGAGGAGGAGCCAGCGATGGTTGCAGGCTTCGCCATGGACGATGCCATGACGGAGTTCGAGGTTGCCCTAGCAGCGGAGATGATGGACCAGACCGCCATCCTCGAGTCCATCAGCCGGTCACTGCTAGGGGCCGAATTTGGTGTATGGGCCCGTAGATGCTCTAAAAGTTACTTTTTTCCCTTAAATTTTTCTTTAACTGATTTTTGATGTTCTATCATAGAGCGGCTTGTGTTCGAAAAAAATATACTCCGCAGGGCCGGCAACCTTTTTTTTTGTCGGTGATTAGCGGCCTAAAGTGTGCATGCGGGCATAGATCAATCCACACACTTGCCTCATCAACCAAATTAGAGGAGCTCTCCTAGGTGGAGTGGTGGACAGCACAAAAGTTGTTGTCGCCGGCCTGGGTTTGAGTCTCCTCATTCTCCTATAAGAATAAGACAAGGGGCTTTTTTCCCTGTGTTTTCATTCTTTTTCTTCATCAATCAAATCAAAAAGAAAGAGGAAGAAAGATGGATCCACACACAAGAGGCGTTTACAGAACGTACGACAAGAGGAGCCCTCGTAGTTGTCGCAGGCGAGCGCGTTGATCAATACGACCACGACCACGCCCACGTCGCGACCTCCCAATGCCACACCTCATTAACCTCAGTCAGGTTACGTGCGCACGCGCCCATCTGCCCATCTCCTCCCGCCTCGTAGAAACTACTCGCTCGGCCGGCGACCGATCGATGGCGGCCGCGGCGGCGCTGGGACCGGAGCTGCTGGAGGAGGCGCGGGCGCCGGGGTTCGCGGCGTGGCTGCGGGGGCTGCGTCGCCAGATCCACCAGCACCCGGAGCTGGCCTTCCAGGAGCACCGCACCTCCGCGCTCGTGCGCGCCGAGCTCGACGCCCTCGGCGTCCCCTACGTCTGGCCTATCGTGCGCACCGGCGTCGTGGCCACCATCTCCGGCGGTGTTCCGGGCCCCGTGTTCGCGCTCCGGGCCGATATGGACGCGCTCCCCATCCAGGTCCGTACGCCGACCACACCACACCAATTACTCTACTTGAAGTAGTAGTACCACGAACAGGATGTGATTGATTGATTCTTTCAGACATAGACGGTCGCGCTCCCCATCCAGGCCCGTGGCCCGTACAAATTTTGTCAGCAGACATTTCAATCTCTCCCATACACACAAGCTCATCAATTCCTTTCCTACATGAACAGAACAGGCTTGGATTTATAATCTTGTAAATACTGTATTGCACAGTTATAAAGGACAGAAATTCAGGAGGGCAGTAATCATGCGAGGATCGATATTTTTTTTGCACCAAATTGTACCTACCTATAATACGTTCCTTCTCTGAACACCAATATGTTATAGCAACACGTCTCCTCGTCCTTTTTTTTTTTTTGAGGATCACGAGATTTCTGTGAACCACCCAAGTGATCACTGTATATAGGAACTTTGTGGTTGCGTGTATGGTTTTGTGTGCCGTGCTGATGCCGAAACTACGGAACTGCTGCGCGAACGACAACAGTATGCACGACAGATGAACGATGCGGGATCAAACGGTCTGCTGGACTCTGCTACATGCACGACACAAGATAACGACTACCAACAAAATTAAGCTGCACCTTTATCACTTGTTTGCAAACTCATCATAGGTCCTTTTTTAGGGTAATGTTAAAAATCTGATGTCTGATTTCTAATCATGGCAAATCGAACGTCTTCCATGGTAAATTTAGTTGTCGTGAGGATGATAAATTTCTTTAGCAAGCATGACAAATCTTTGCTCGAAGATGATAAATTTCCTTTAGCAAGCATTACAAATTTATCCGCACAACAACTAAATTTGCCATAAAAAGACATTCGATTTGCCACGCCTAAAAGTTTGACATTCGATTCGTAGCAAAATCATTTCTTATTTACATGATTCTAAAAACGTGGTAACGCAAAAAAAAACCCACATAAATTGGCCATGATATCATATCTAAAATAGAGTATTGCGAAGATATATGTTTTTCTTACGAAAATGGCAGCGAACTTTTTTTAGTTTTTCTTACGAAAATGGGTGCTAATTGGGAGAATAGGAAAAACACGGGAGTAACAATGGTCAAACCAAGTTTTTAAAAAAAAAAATCAAAACGAAGGCAAATAAAATGTCCCCTTTCTATTCTCCATGTCTGCTATGAATCATAGATGTCCACCAAACAACTACTCCCTTCCTAAATATTAGTCTTTTTAGATATTTCAATATGGACTACATACAGATGTATATAGACATAGTTTAGAGTGTAGATTCACCTATTCTGCTCCGTATATAGTCCATATTAGAATCTCTAGAAAGACTTACATTTAGGAACGGAGGGAGTACTTCGTCTAACTAATTATTGTAGATACGTGTGCATGCCATATTGCCATTGCAATTGATCCACTGATTTCTATTGGCGTGCGTGTAGGAGATGGTGGAGTGGGAGTTCAAGAGCAAGGAGGACGGCAAGATGCACGCCTGCGGCCACGACGCGCACACCGCCATGCTCCTCGGCGCCGCCAAGTTGCTCCAGTCCCGCAAGGACGGCCTCGCGGGCACGGTGAAGCTCGTGTTCCAGCCGGCGGAGGAGAGCCATGCCGGCGGGTACCACGTGCTTCAATCCGGCGTCCTGGACGACGTGGCCGCCATCTTCGCCGTGCACATCGACACGCATCTCCGCGCTGGCGCCGTCGGGTCCAGGCCGGGGCCGTTCCTCGCCGGGTCGGCCCGCTTCAAGGCCACCATAACAGGGAAGGGCGGCCATGGCGCCATGCCGCACGCAGCCGTCGATCCGGTGGTGGCCGCCTGCTCCGCCGTGCTCAGCCTGCAGCAGCTCGTCGCCCGCGAGACGGACCCGCTCCAGGGCGCGGTGGTCTCGGTGACCACCATCAGGGGCGGCGAGACCTTCAACGTCATCCCGGAGTCCGTGACGCTGGGCGGCACCTTCAGGAGCATGACGACGCCGGGGATGCGGTACCTGATGAGGAGGATCAGGGAGGTGGTCGAGGGGCAGGCGGCGGTGGCGCGGTGCGCGGCCACGGTGGACTTCATGGAGGAGGAGCTCCGGCCGTACCCGGCCACGGTGAACGACGAGGGCGTGTACGCGCACGCCAGGGCGGTGGCGGAGGGCATGCTCGGCGCCGCGAACGTCAGGCTGTCCCCGCAGATCATGGCCGCCGAGGACTTCGGGTTCTACGCCGAGAAGATCCCGGCCGCCTTCTTCGGCCTCGGCGTCCGCGCCGGCGGCGAGGAAGACGAGGTGCACCACGTGCACACGCCGCGCATGGTCATCAGTGAGGACGCGCTCCCCGTCGGGGCCGCCCTACACGCCGCCGTGGCCATCGAGTTCTTGAGCAAGCGCGCGCGTGCCACGGCATCGCCTCCCGTGGCTGCGTAGTAGGTGCTCTGCTTTCGGCTCTGTTTCTGAGGGGTAAACGATGACATGATGTGCTCGGGCTATGGAATTGTTTGCCCTCGCAGTAAATCTGGATGAACATTGAACAAGGGCTGGCCCAACGAGAGTGATTTTTTCTAGTACCATTTAACATGCGCTCATTCACCGTTGAATGTGTTGGAGGTTCGTAGGTTCAGATTCAATGAACGAGAAAGCTAACTTCCAGTCAATCTGTTTTGGGTTCGACTGGAAGTTAGCGACAGGCGCGGACGACTTGCGAGCCGCTCGATCTGCTTCTCGCGTGTGAAGAAAAGCTACGGGAAAATAAAATGAGGCGCCAATAAGTGGTTGTTTGGATAGAGAATATTAGCGTCGAGTTTTAGGAAAGCAGGTTTTAAGCAGATTTTTTTGGTAAACCGGTATTACTTATTAGAGATAAATACACTCACGGTCATTGTAGTTGCGACAAAAGCCCGATACGGTCACTGTACTTAGAAATACGGCTGTTACGGTCACTATATACGATGTGACGTGAATGTACGGTCACTGTTGGTCGTATGTGGTGAGTAGCCGCTCCTTTGACCACCTGTTGACCAGTCGTTGGGGACAGGTGGCGATCCGCGCACCGGCCGCTGTGCATAATAAGCGAAAAACCCCTCGGGCATGTCCAAATCCCCCCCCCCCCCAATCATCCCTACTCTGACGACGCCTCTTCGTCTTCGATTGGAGACAGGGAAGGCGCTGCATAGGCGCCGCCGCCCCGGCGATCATCGGCCTACAGGCGCCGTCGCGTGCTGATTTCTTCCGTGGCTGGAGAGGCGTCGCCGCCGCGTCAATTCCACCGGCGGTAGGTGGTGGCGATGGCCCCTGTTCGTCGCGCAGAAGCGGCGCCTCCCCCGTGTACAGTAAGTTTCATCTTGCGTAAATCCGACTTTTTTTGCGTTTTGATGTTCAAAGACACTCCTTTTTGGCCCGCATTGTCATTATAGATGGTATGCAGCTGGTAGTTTCGATGGATTGTACTAGGGTTTCGGTATTGGATTTGATGGTCTTTGGGGGTTAGGGTTTTAGATACTCGAATGAAATGATGCTATAGTCAATTACGATGCATGATGTTTCTGTCTTGTGTATCAGGCCCTCGAAGCACCAACTTCTCTGTGCAAATCAACCATGGTGGATTTTTTGTTGGCCATGGAAGTAATCGTGATTATGTTAATGGTCGTGCCATTTGGTACGATAATCTGGAGAAGGTCACTTCGTCACCAATTATGATTGAACACCTTGTTGAGGAGATTGGTTATGAGATGGCAGGGAGGTTGAAGGTATACTATTGTGTCCCCATCCTTACACTCAGTAATAATGGTCTCAGGCAGCTTAGTGATGATGAGCAGACAGATAGAATGTTGATGTTTATTGATATTGGGCACCACTCCTTTAGTATATATCTTGATCATGATGAGAGCTTACAAGCAAACCTAAGTGAGGATGATGTTGTGAACTATCCTAGAGCCACTTTGCCTCCAGTATTTAGTCCTGCAAAGAGAGTGGGCAGCAGCATGACTGCAGAAACAGGGGAAGCAAAGGCAGAACCAGAGGCAGAACCAGAGGCAGAACCAGAGGCAGCACCTACTCCTCTCCAGGTTGTATACCCTGAAGTGGAAGCAGGGAAAGATGCACAAGCTATTGCAAATGAGGATGTTGGAGGAAGCACATCAAGTAGGAGGACCAAAAGCAGTCATGATGTTGGAGGAAGCACATCAAGTAGGTGTACTTGTGGACAGTGACAATGAGATAGGCAATGATGATGATGACTTGTTTGCAGATAATGTTGATGAGGATGAACCAGAACAGAAGCATAAGAACAATTCAAAGGAGCAAGTCAAGCATGTGAAACCTACAGATGAAGACAAAAGCAAGCAGCAGTACAATTCAGATGAAGATTAGTCTGAAGGTGAAGATTTGTGGGCACCTGATTCTGATGATGAGGAAATGCATTTAAAGTTCAAAACTTTCAGACCAGAGGATCTTCATAGGCCAAAATTCCATGTAGGGCAGGTTTTTGAGAGTGTGGAGCTTCTAAGGAAAGCAATTAAAGAGTACTCCTCCCAGAACAGAGTTGATATCAAGCTTCCTGTTAATGGTAGGAAAAGAGTGAAAGCAAAATGTGATGAAGACCGCACATGGTACTTGTGGGCATCATATGATAGCAGAATTAAGGCTTTCATGGTGAAGAGATATGTGCATGAGCACACATGCAGCAAGAAGTGGAAGATTAGGGCTTTCACATCAAGATTCCTAGCAATGAAATATCTAGAGAGCTTTAGGGCTGATCAAGATATGAACTTGATGAATTTCTCAAGGGTTGTTCAGAAAGAATGGCATATGACACCCACTAGGATGAAACTTCAAAGAGCAAGGAGAATGGCTATGAAAATTATTTATGGTGATGAGGAAGGGCAGTACAAGCTGCTATGGAATTATGCTAATGAGGTTAGGAGAAGCAACCCTGGCTCATCCTTCTATGTTTCATTAGATGAAAATGCTAGGTTCAGCAAGTTGTATATGTGTCTAGATGCTTGCAAGAGAGGATTTCTGGAGGGTTGTAGACCAGTCATCTTCCTAGATGGTTGCCACATTAAAACTAGATACAGAGGACAACTGCTTGCAGCTGTTGGGGTAGATCCAAATAACTGCATATTTCCAATTGCCATTGCTGTGGTTGAAGTTGAGGACACCCCTAACTGGTCATGGTTTCTTGACACACTCAAAAGGGACCTAGGCATCATAAACACTGAACCTTGGACTATCATGTCAGACAAACAAAAGGTAAGTACCATCTTTCTTTTTCAAAGTTTATGTGTCATTACTATGTGAATGGTTGTGAATAGCTTCTGAATGGTTATGTTGCTTTGCAATTGTAGGGGCTCATCAATGCAGTTGAAGAACTGTTCCCTGAGTCAGAACACAGATATTGTGTTAGGCACATGTGGCAAAACTTTCAACAACATTTCAAAGGTGACATCTTGAAGAATCAACTCTGGAAGATAGCTAGGAGCAATACAATGCAGTTGTATGAACAGGGCATGGAGGAGATGAAGGTTCTTAATGTTGAGGCATACAAATGGCTGCATGAGCTAGAACCACAAACTTGGGTTAAGGCTTTTCAAAGTGACTTGCCAAAATGTGATATTTTGCTTAACAACATTTGTGAAGTTTTCAACAGGTACATTTGTGAAGTTTGCCAAAATGCTTTTCAATGTAGTGAATTACCAATATTTACCATGGTTTGCTGTTAAATGCAGGTATATCCTGGAAGCAAGGGAACAACCAATACTTAGCATGGTTGACGGGATTTACATGCAACTTATGACAAGGCATTACAACAAACAGCTGGAGTCAGATAAATGGCAAGGAGATGTATGTCCAAAGATCAGGAAGAAGGTTGAGAAGGTAACAGAATTTGCAAACACATGCTATGTGGAGGGATCAAGAGATGGCTTATTCCTAGCAGGTGATAGAGGAATGGATTACATAGTGGACATGCACAAGAAAACCTGCACATGTAGAAGAATGCAGAAAGCAGGCATTCCGTGCTCTCATGTGGTAGCCTGCTGCAGGAATGATAGAGTTAATCCTTTGAACATGGTTGATCATTGCTACTCAAAACATATGTTCAAGAAAGCATATGGCAATATTATCTATCCTTGTAGAGATAGGAGTGAATGGGAAGACTTACATGGGCCTCCAATAATGCCACCATTGTACCAGAAGCATGTTGGAAGGCCATGTACTACAAGGAGACATGCACCTGGAGAGGTTGATCATAGAAGGGGAGGGAAGAAAATCACAAGGCATGGTGTCATTATGCATTGTTCTTATTGTGGTGATGCAGATCACAACAGGAAGGGGTGCAAGACCTTGAAGGCTGGACTGCCACCACCTAATGTGCCTCCACCAAATGATCAACCATCTTCAAATGTGCCTCCTCCAAATGAAGGTAATGCTGGTGTCAATGTGCCTCCTCCAAATGAAGGTAATGCTGGTGTCAATGTCACTCCTCCAAATGAAGGTGTTGTTGGTGCCAATGTGACTCCTACAAATGTGGCTCCTCCATATGGTGATCTCATGGTTGACAACATGATTGCCCAGGTACTACTGATCTCCTCATCAAATGTACATTCTTTGTACATGAATATCCTATTGTTCTCATCAAATGTACATTCTTTGTACATGAATATCCTATTGTTCTCATCAAATGTACATTCTTCATAGATGCCAACAGCAAGGGTTGTGGAACAAAGGCCAGTACCTGCTTCTGCTTTCCTTACTGCTGCCCAAGTGCTGCTCAACCAGAGTAATGGAAGCCAAGGGAGCCAAGCTAGTTCAAGCACCATAAGGCCAGGTGAGTTGGCACAGAAATTGGAGGCCATGAAGAATCAGAAAGATAGGGAAGTAGAGGAGAGGAAGAAGGCAATACTTGCATCTAGAAGAGAAGAGGAATTGAAGAGAGCTGAAGAGATAGCAAAAAGGAAACATGAGGTTGCACAGAGGAAAGCTGAGCTTGCAGAGAGAAGAAGGTTGGCTACATTGGAGAGAACTGCCAAGAAGAAAGAAGAAGCAGAATTGAACAAGAAGGTTCAAGCTCAGACAAGAAAAAATATTGAAGAGATAAAGAAAACAATAGCTGCTGAGAGGAAAGCCAAGCAAGAAGCAGATAGGAAAGCTGCTGTTGAGAAGAAGGAGGCAGAAAAGAGGGCAGAGAGGGAAGCAACTGCTGCAAAGAGAGAAAAGCAAAAAAAAGTTGCTGCTGCACAGAAGGCAGAAGAGAAGAGACTTGCTGCTGCAAAAAAAAAGAGGAGAAGAGACTTGCCGCTGCACAAAAAGAAGAGGAGAAGAGACTTGCTGCTGCACAAAAAGAAGAGGAGAAGAGACTGGTTGCTGCTAAAAGAGAAGCAGATAAGAAGCTTGCTGCTGCACAGGAGAGAATGATGGCAATTGCACAG